CACAGCTCAAGCCAGGAACACTCTGGAAGGGGCCTTGTGACTGTTTCAACCACAACCCACCACTCCCAAGTCCAAGCTGAGCACCATTATGACTTGTGCTCCCAACACCTGATGTACTAACATGAACCTGGTTTTACAAATGAGAATCCTAGCAAGCAGGTTGTTGCTTTTGTCTTGGTCCATCCATCCTGCACACTACTATACTTGAATTTTCCTTAACCTCAGTGCAATAAGCACGCAATTACAGCATGACATGGAGTATCATGGGAGTCAAAGGACCAAAGTATAACTCTGAGTTATCACTAACTGGACATTTGATGACATTAAGTGGTCATTGAATCCTAAATGTCTTCTAAGGGATCATGTATTAAATGCATTGTTGCCAGCCACAGTGTTACTGGGCTTTGGTACCACCTTTGAAGGATGCATTTGTTTGCTTCTCCATTACTTTGAAGAAACACTCTAACCAAAAGCAACTTGGGGAGAGAAGGGTTTATGTCATACAGGTTAATCATCATAGTCAAGGGAAAACAAAGCAAGAACCTAGAGCAGTTGTTCTCAACCCGTGGGTTGCAACACCTTGCGGGGTAAGGGGGGGAGGTGTCAAATGGCCCTTTCACAGGGTTGCATATCAGATATTTACACTATGATTCCTAACAGTAGCAACATTAGTTATGAAGCAGCAATGAAAATAAAAAATGAGGGACCGTATTTAAGTGTTGCAACATTAGGAAGGCTGAGAATCACTGTTCTGGAAGTAGGAACTGAAGCAGGAACCATGGAGGAATGCTGCTTATTGGCTTGCTCAGCTAGTTTTTTTGATATAGCCTAGGCCTACCAAACTACTGATGTATCACCCACGGGAGGCTGGGCCCTTCTACATCACTTACCAATCAAGAAAATTTCCCACATAAGTCAAACTGATGAAGGTAATTCTTCAGTTGAGGGTCCCTCTTCCCAGGTGTGTCAAGTTGATAAGCTAACTATGACGGATATTCGAACCTTGGTCTCTGCCTCTCAGCTGCCTGGTTACCTTGAGGTGAGCAGTTTGACTGAACCATGCATACCCTGTCATGATTTCATAGACTCTCTATTCCTGGTAACAATGGAGTCAAACCACCATGGACTTTAAACTCTTAAACACTTACATTATCAAAGTCAATTTTTTTCTTTTCTTTTTTTTTTCTCTTTTTTTCCCAGGTTATTATATCATGACAGGACACTAACATAAACAATCCCCCTATGCCCCTAAACCTTAAAAACATGTTTGTGGCCTGGCAATGAGAATATGTTGCTTGATTCTTTTAGAGATATACACTGGGACTGTGCTCTGGTTGAGCAGGAGGTGTCTACAGAACACAATTGGCCCCTCTGCTGCTAAGAACTCAATTCCATGATGGATGCACGAAGCTTACTATTCTGAGTATGTTGGAAATTTTCCTCATTAAACAGAAAGAGTCCAAGCTTTCTGTCAATTTAATGGTGACACAAATGTTCTAATAAATACGACATAGGGAACAGATTGAGCCAATTTTCACGTAGCCCTTATGAAGGTGATATTCATGTCCTTAACTCCTAGGTCATCAAGGCAGTGATTTCTGAGAGTGCCTTCATGAGATGGTCAGGTCAGGCTCTGTTCTTCCAGTCCTCCATTCCCCCACCAGAATCAAAGTCCCTTACTCGAACCCAGGCTCTATAGTCCAGGCTCCCTGCTCTTCCTTGGCCACATTCCTGTAGGTGTGAGACTTACTACTCTTGTCACACTGGTCCCCACATGTTGAGTGAGCCCTGATATTGGTGCCACAGGCCTGCTGTGGTTTCTGCTAAGGTTTTCTTAGATATAAGGCTCACTCCCATTTTCCCCAGTAGTTACCATGTGAAGGAAACCTTGTGTATTTTTGATAGAAAATAAGTTATTACAGCAAGGGGTTTTACAGCTAATGGTTTGGATCCAGGACTGGGGGGCTGCATCTGGTGATGGCCTTCTTTTTTTTCTTTTTTGGTTTTTCGAGACAGGGTTTCTCTGTGTAGCTTTGGAGCCTATCCTGGCACTCGCTCTGGAGACCAGGCTGGCCTCAAACTCAGAGATCCGCCCGCCTCTGCCTCCCAAGTGCTGGGATTAAAGGCGTGTGCCACCAACTTGCAGCTTGGTGATGGCCTTCTTACCTGCAGAGTCCTCAGGCTGTGCAGAGAACTGCATGATAAAGCAAGGTTCATGCAAGAGTCCAAGAGCAAACTGGTTTCTGTTACACTTACTCTCCCATTAACCTATTATCCACTTATCTCATGAATAGGTGCTCCATTCATGGCGACAGAGGCTTGGTCCTGCATCTCTTAAAGGTCCCACATTTCTATTGTAGGGGCCTCAGAGGGACCAACAACATCCAAACCACCCCTCCTTCCACACACATCCATCTTCCCCATTTCTCTTCACTCTTACCTTCTTTGAGTTTCATCACAGTACTAATTATTATGACAGCACTTAGTGTGTTGATCTGTTTAGAGTCTACCTGAAAAAAAAAAAGTTCCTGGAGACTTTGCTCACTCCCAAATCCCTGACAGTGACTGCCATGTAGTACACCCATGTAGGTATTTACAGACTGCACATGCCAGCTCCTGAGCAAAGCTCATTTCCAATTAACTATCCTGCAGTTAGAGAAGGAAACCTGCTCATAGGACCTCTGTTCTCAAAGCCTTTGAAGAAAGCTGTATGCATAGACAGAGACAGAATTAAATCACCTACAGCAAGAACAGAAGCTAGGCCCCAGGTCAGAAATGCTTGACAGGAATGGTCACAATCTGACGTACTGATGAATTATATTTAAGAGGACTGCAAGTTCAAGGCCAGTCTAGGGTACATAGTAAGAATACCCTAGGGAGCAATGGTGCACACTTTCAATCCCAGCACTCAGAAGGCAGAAGCAGGAAACTCTCTGTGAGTTTGAGGCTCTCTCTGGTCTATAGAGAGTTACAGGACAGACAGGGCTACAGAGAAACCCTGTCTCAAAAACAAACAAAACCCCAAACCAAACAAAATAAAAAAAAAAAAATAAAATCCCCCAATAAAACAAAACCAGTAACAAAACAGCTCAGAGAACTACCATCCTTCATCCCAGAAATGCCTGGAAACCAGCTAGTTTCCCGGGGCCCCTATGCTGCAAGGCTCTTGAAACAAACCCAGTGACATGGCCTGCTCTGACCACACCTGTGATCCTGTATCAGCAATGAAAGCCCCATTTCTGGTTGGAACCAAAAGATAGTTGGGCTTTTTTCCCCCCACACTTTTTTACTTTTTAAAAAAAATTCTAAATCTTTATACTATGTAAGAAAGCAGATATGGAAAGTACTTGAGCATTCAAGCCCCACAACCTATGTATTCAAACAAACAAACAAACAAACAAACCTAAAAGCCAGGCTTGGTAGCACAGGCATGTCTGTAGCCCCTGCTCTGGGAGGCAGAAACAGGAAGCTCTCTAGTGAGCTCTTTGCCTAGCCAGCCTTCTAGGGGAACTCCAGTCTAATGAGAGATCTCTGAAAACATGGTGGACAGCTGAGGGCACCCAAAGTTGACTTCTGACTTCCAAACATGCATGCATGCACACGGGAGAGGGGTTCCCTCTGCCACATAGTTGGATTCCAATGGTCACATATGTGTGCCACAACAGTGGACAAGTAGAAATAAACATCAGGACCTGAGACTTTGAACTTGATGATCTGGGGAATCCCCCTCCCCCAAAGGGAGATCATCTCTGAGGTCCCCTTCTCTGCATCTATCCCACTAAACTCTGAGGCTGTCAACTTGACACTTGATGAAAAGCAAATGAAAGTTTTCTGCAAAAGTTCTTTCTGGGGCGTTGGTGGCACACACCTTTAATGCCAGCACTCGGGAGGCAGAGGCGGGCGGATCTCTGTGAGGAAACCTCCAAACCAAGTGCTTGGGAGGGAACTAAATCTTCCTGTTGCTTATTAAGGAAGGGACTGTACTGGTTTGCTACAGCTGACTGAGTGGTTTAAACAGGAGACATCTGTTTTCCTAAGGTTCTGGAGACTGGCAGTCCACAATGGAGGTGTTAGGAGTTGGTTTCTTCTACACACCTCTCTCTGTGGCTAGTGGACGGACACCTGTTACCACCTGTTCTCTTGTGTCCTAATCTACACTTTTAAAGACACCAACCATATTGCTTTAGGGAGGGCCTATTCCTAACAGTATCATTTCAGCTAAATTACCTCCTTAAAGCTTAATCTCCAAATACAGTCACATTCTGAAGTGACCGATTCAGGGATGTGGTACATATATGAATTTTGAATGATATGATTTGGCCTGTAACAGATACAGGGTGTTCTTTCACAGTGACATAAGCACTCACATTAGGAGTAATTTATGTACTGAGACATTAAAAACCAGGAGATAAGCCTACATCATATGCATATAAAAGCTAACTGTGTATGGAAAGAATGCTTTCCAACAAGGCTCATCTGTAACGTTTTGGATTTACTGGAAAGGTTCAAGTTGAAACAGTGACAGCCACACAAGGTATTAGGGCAGTTTAATTCAGAAACAAAGCCAAGATCCATTACTCAACTGGTGTTTCCATTTTTTTTTGGAAATGGGGTTTTACTAGGTTGCCTGACTGGCCTCAAACTCACAGAGAACCACCTGCCTCTGCCCTACGAGTGCTGGACTAAAGGTAGGTGGCACCATGCCCAAGCCCCACAATTGGCCTGAACAAGGTCCCAGGCACTGATTATTTTCTGGAATTGCTGCTGATGCTTACTGTTTTTCCATGAGATGACACTTGATCCAGGTGTGGACTCGCAGCATCAGCCAGTCAGTTACCTGCCCCAGTAAACCCAGGTTTCTGCATGTCACCCAGACAAGAGAGGTGAGCTCCAAGTCTGGGAGCCTGAACTTTAACAAGCACCCGTCTACCCACCCATTTCAGTCTGTGGCCTCCGTCCTAACCACAGTGTGCTAGGCACCCACTCTTCACAGAAGTTTGTCACATTTGTCCAAGTTGTTAAATTGATTATAGCTTTATTTTATACACTGTGTAATCTGATACATGGAAAAAAAACTAGGTCAGTATAATTAATATCCTCATTTCCATTTGGTCTACCACTGAAAACCCAGGCAAATCATTTTGCTATTAAAAAATTAAAAAAGCAGGAACTGAGCCAACAGTTATGTCAAACAGTAAGTTTTCTCCTTCAGTAGTCAAAGCAATACCCGTTGAGGGAATGAATTTCTTTTCAAGGAAGAATGAACTCTATTCTCAAGTATAAAGATAAACTTGAATGCCTATCTTGACAATCAGCAAATAAGCACAAAGTTGAAAAGGCAAGCGCACTATGGAAATGACACTCCACTGTAGAATCCGGCCCCACAATTTGCCTGAACAAGGTCCCAGGCACTGTTGGGGTAGCAATGCTGCCTCCTTCTTATAGAAGGGCATTCGTGTGCCTCTCTCTGATGGCTCTGAGAGGCCTGTTCTCCACTGGCTGTCCTTACCCTGGCCTTTGGACTCATGGGCTATGTGGCAGACTGGGTTGGCTGAGCCCAAGGTCAACATCTCATGTGGAATGATGATCTCAGGGTATGGAGGCCATGCTGTACGTTAAAGTATATAGAGGCTCCTCTGGGAGACAAAGCCTTCTCCTTCCTCTTCAACAAGACAGTTCTGTGTCTGGTGACACCACTCTGGCTACCTCTTCTTCATGTGTGACCTCATGTGTGCAGCAATTGAACCAGCTATTTCTGCTGCCTTCTTGTTTTGGCCAAAGTAATCCAGAAACCCTCCATCTGGTCCAATCAAGTACATTATTATTGTATGATCAACCTGTAAAGAAGAGGGGGGGAGGCATGTGTGAAAACGATCACCAATCTTATGTTGTTGAAGAGAAATACACCACAGGTCAGAGATGTTAACATCAGTGCTTAAATAACCACTATAGCATCCGCTCAGGGAAGCACTGTCTACCAAATGGCCCAGCACTCACAGCCGGGGACCGTCTGAAACCTCCAAGGGCCACTGCTGTGGATTAGCTTAGGATTCTTTGGGTACAGATCTTTATATACTCAGCCATACATTCTCTGAGAGAAGAATTCACCTTCTACTAGCCTTCATAAATAACCTATGCTGTGGAACAGCGATGCTGTTTTGAAACACCTTCCACTTCTGATTGGGCGTATCTCATTTGGTCACCTTTTCATTCACACAAGCTGTCACATGGGGAGTCAGATCAGTGATCAGAACTACTCTGAGTAGTTCCAAATCCAGTGAGTGCCTGGGTGTCCACCCTCTTGTTTAAGGAAGAACTGGCTCTCATCTCTGCTTGTCATGCTTTATGAGAAAACCAACCACTAGTGAAACATACAATTTACAAATCCTAATAGTGATTTAGTCCAGGTATCAGTGATTCAAACAAAAACAGGTAGATGTTTTTCTCTCCTGGGAAATCTGCACTTGCTATTCTGAGCTTCGTATCTGAAGCACACTGCTTGGAAACCCCACAGGCCACAAATGCTGCTCTCTGGGAGGCTCTTCAACCCACCATCCATTTTCCTGACTATGCTCTTAAAATGTCTCAGTTCCAATTTAAGTTCAGACTGGTCATCACTCTTTTTGGATATTCATTTCCACAATATTTTAAGAGTAGATTTGGCATCCTAAGCCCTCGGAATTTGTTGCAAGCTTGTTCGACAAGGCAGGAAGAAAAGATAGGAATACCATCACATACACCAACTGGAAACTCCCCAGAATATACCCCGACCCACATTATCTAGCCATGAGGCTATTACCTTTTTATACACACACATTCATAAGGAGATAGCAAATGGAAAGAGCCACTCCCTGCCATCAGGAAAGAATGCCACCAAGAGCTCAGACAGCTGGTGACTTCATGTGGAGAATTTACTGTAGGAGCCAGGCAGGGTCTGGAATGTCTCCTCCCATTTGACAGAGGACTCAAGTTTTAAAACTCTGGCTTTCGCCTCAAGCCTTTCTCTGCATCTTATACACATCTTTTCTCCAATATTTCCTTTTTTAGAGAATTAATTTTTGACAATTTCATGTACACATATCATACCCACACCTCTTTCATTTTCTCTATTCACTTTCTTTCTTAAAGAACAGAACTGCAGTATGTTGGACTGATTTTTGAGGGTTCTTAATATAAATTACCAACTAGTATGTGGTAAAACAAATTCTTCTGCCCTTGCTAAACTTATCAATAGTCACTTTTCAATTACTGTTGGGGCAAATCAACATTTGTTCTAATAGAGAATTTGTGAAAGTCTAGTAGTTTGTAGTAGAGAAAACAAAACCAGCAACTACACACCCTTTATTTCTTGATGTGTGTGGTGCATTTATACATACATGTGGGGTGAATATGCACACCCACACCCACACCGAGGCCAGAGGACGATGTTGGGTTGCCTCCTTGTCACCCTCAGCCTGACAAGATCTCTCACTAAACCTGGAGCAGAACGGGAGCATCAAGCCCCAACAAACTTACTGTTACCACCCACAATAGTGCTGGAGTTTCAGGAGTGCATGACCATGCCTGGCTTTTTACGTGGTTGCTGGGGATGAACTCGGGTCCCTGTGCTTGTGCAACAGGCACTGTTACCCAGTGAGTAACCCAGTACCCACTCCTCACTTGCCATTTCAACCAATCCTCTATAAAGTACAAGCAGGCTGGAGAGGGGAAGTTATAGATGCTACTAAGTGCCTATCTAGCACCTGTCCAATTTCAGAGTCCTCATCCTTTTATCACTATGTTGCCACTATTACCAATTCAACTGAAGAGGTAGCAACTCATATCTTTTTTAATATACATTTTTTACTGCCTAAAAAAGTAGTGCACGCACACTACTCTTCCATTCTGGACTCCCAATGTCCTTTGGTTCTTCTAGCAGAGAACCTCTGTCACTAGTTACTACTATATTCTCAGAGAAATTCTCTTCCTTTACTATGTCTGTACCTAGCACCACCAACCACTGTCACACAACTGACACTTGGTGACAGTCTCTTGTCAGGTAACACAGAAACCACTGTTCTACATAGGATAAAGTAACTCTTTAAAAATGGTTGCCTGGGTTTCAGTCCTTAGTCTTTATCAACATGCTACAAGATTCAGCTGTGAGCTAATCTCCAAGTAGCACTCATATTGGTAAAAGCAGTTTTACATACTTCCACACTACCCTCTGAAGAGGGCCTACCAGATTCATTCCTATCAACAATGCATGAAAACACCTGTTGTTCAAAGTTCACTCCAACAACTCATTTCCTAGCTTTCCAATTCTAACAACAGATTTTCAAACTTTCCAATCACAGCTAAACTACCAGGTTTTTAAAAAGTGTACCACTAAATAACCTTCATTTCTTTTGTTATGAATTTGTCTTAGCTTAAATTTAAAAAGACATCTGTATTCTTCTTGAACTATTTTCTAACTAACATTTATATATAGTAATGTGGTATGATGTGTATGATAAATACGTATATAGTAATGTGCAAATTTAGCTTTGTGGTGAATTCTGTTTGGTATGCTCAGTTTATATACAGTATCTAAAGATTCTTTTGTCACCATTGTCTGAGATTATGAAAATATCATCCCATTACACCTTAAGGCTAATCTTTAAGCATTGCCCCTTACTGGTCCTTAAATCCTAACATATTTCCATCCACAGCCTCAAGACGAGTCGCACTAATGAAAAATTCTAGGAACCTTGGAAGTGTCTCCCCCTGTTGGTTGATTTAGCAAATGCACAGCAATGAAGTCTGAGAGCTCAGACCAGCAGACCAGCAGACCAGTAAGCTACAAAACTCTTGTCTAGGTACTTTAATCTTTAAGACAAAAATAACTATATTTCAGATTATCTGACTCACAATTGCAAATTTTAGGCCTAACATGTGGTTGGTTTATAATGAACGTTATAACTGACTCCAGGAAGTGCACTGTTGGAGATCCACAAAAAACAAGAAATGGTAATTCTTACTATGCAAAGGGCAACCGAAAATTGTGAAGGGGTAGTAGACAGCATCATGGGACCACATAGGCTAGCTGCTTAGCTCCATTCCTGCAGTTAAGAGCAGCTTTGGTTTCAGGAAAATACTTGTCATTTGAATGTAATGTTTCACTTGCTTTTAATTTTGAGACAGGGTCTCACTTATGTGGTCCTAGTTGGCCTGAAACTCATGAAGTGTGACACCTGGCCTGTCTGAACTCAAATGTTACAAATAAAACCAGCCACTTTGTTTATTTGTAATTTTTTCTTTTAACTTCAGAACAGGCCTATAATAGAATTTAAAAAGAATTGTTTATTCCTAGAAGATCAGCCTCTCTCAGGCAAACCCCAAACCAGCCATTGTAACAGTATTAAAGGGGAGAACCAATCAGAAATGGACTCAGTTGCTCAAGACTTCCCACACAATGCTGATTAACAAGGATACAGCTCTTTAAAGAAAGAACCACAAAGGTAAACTGGGCAGATGTCCCATCTCTTATTATTGAACCCCAAGTTGAACGGGACTGTTACAGCCACTAAAACTTATAGTCTGTTATTTGAAGACTATTTTTTCTCTTGCTTTTCAATACAATAAATGAATCCCAAAGGCTTAGAGCATTTTTCTTCCACTTCATCAAGGACACAGGGAGAACTAACATGATGCTGATAACTAAAACTGAAGCAGCATGAATTCCATGTGGTGCTCCTCTGAATCCAACATGGTGCCTGAGTATTGTTTTTGTAATTGTATGCAACTAGGGAAGTCAGACAAACTATGGGATGAATATAAATTAAGCAATAAACACTCACCTCTCAAAAATATATGTGCCTACTAGATTTTCAAATTATCCAAAATTCTCAAGGAATTTACAATAGCCTCAATTTTCTTTTTAAAGAGATACTTGTTTTATGTATTTGAGTGCTTGTCTACATGTATGTATGTGTACAATGTGTGTGCCTAGTGCCACAGAGTCCAGAAGAGGACATTGGATCCTCTGGAACTGGATTTACAGTCAACCGTGTGTCACAATGTGGGTACTGGTAACTGAAACAAGGTTCTCTGAAAGAGCAGCAAGTGCTCTTAATCACTGAGCCTCTTTAGCCCTTCAGGTTTTCCTTTACCTCTGAAGCCAGTCAGGTATATCACGTGTGTGAGAACCTGGGATCCAAGGCCAGGCTAGCAGTTGAAAACTGAGCATTGACTTACTATGTAGTCCTCATCTTCATCCTTAGGGCCAGGGCTATAATAGACTCTGTATGCTCTGGCCACTCCATCAATCTCTTCTTTTGTGCCAGTCAAACCAACGAGTTTGGGAGAAAATTCTAAATATAAAAATGAAAAAGACAGTGAAAATGAAAGACAAGAAACTTAAAATAAGACCAAAATATCAGAAAAACATACATAAAACCACTATAAAGCAGCTATGGTGACACTTTGTTCCTTAGTCTCCAAACATTGCTGCATGATTTAAAGGAACATAAACTCAGAGAAAAAAAAGAAAATTCTCCCTATGGCAAAGGTGGGTCTTTCTGTGACCATAACATAATAAAGATCTGAAAGAATATACTCAAGTTATTTAAATGATGCTTTAAATTAATTTAGTTAAAAACATATGCAGTTGAGGAAAGTACTTAATTCAGGTTTTTCACTGCATTATATGGAAAGAAAACTAGTTTAAGAAGCTGGTAAGATGGATCACTGGGTGTGAGAGGCTTGTGTGGTGGCCTGAAAGAAAATGGCCCCCAAAGGGAGTGGTGCTATTACGAATCGTGGCCTTGATGGAGTAGGTATGGTCTAGTTGGAGGAAGTGTGTCACTGTGGAAGTAGGCTTTGAGGTCTCATACATGCTCAAGATACCGCCCAGTGTCTCAGACCACCTTCTGTGGCGCCTGTGAGTTAAGGAATCTCAGCTCTTGCTCCAGTACCATGTCTATCTGCAGGTCACAATGTGGTACTAATGGTGATAACTAAACCTTTGAAAATAAAAGCCACCCAATTTAATGTTTTCCTTTATAAGAGCTGTGTGGTCACGATGTCTCTTCACAGTAATAGAAACCGTAAGACAGCTGGGGAGGGGATTCAGTCTGAAGCAGGATGTCTTCATCAGACCCACTTCCCTCAAGGCTCAGAACCCACAAGGAAAAGGGAGTGGAAAGACTTTAAGAGACAGAAGGAAACAGTGTCTTCCGAAGACAACAGGCCTGAGGCAGGTATGAACTCAGAGACTGTGACAGCATGCACATGTTCAAACTGGACAAAATCTGAACACTGAGAAGGGAAAGTGGACACAAGTCCTACCCCTGTCAAGAAGCTATCTGCAACTGATAATAGTTGGGAAAAGGAAAATCAGTTTCCTCCAGTGAAGTGTTAATGGCAATATCGACCACACTCCAGGGCAGGCCCCAAGCTCAGGAGTTGTGGCGGCCAACACAAAATGGACTCTATGTTCTTTTTGTGAACTTCTGTTTTATTGTTTGAGCTTTTTTTTTTTTTTTTGTCTTCTTGGTTTTTTGTCTGTTTCCATTTTTGTTCTCTTTTTAAAAATTATTTTTTGTTTTTGAGGTGGGAGGAAAAACATGAGGTTGGATGGTAGGGAAGACCTGGGAGGAGCTGGGTGGGAGACATGGGAAGTATTGCATGAAAAATACTTCCTTTGTTGTTTTGTTGAGAATTTTGAGACAGGGTCTCTCTATGTAGCCCTCACTGTCCTCGAACTCTGTGCAGAAAAGGCTGGCCTCTGACTCATAGTTCCCCAGTGCTGAGATTAAAAGTGTGCACTACCATAAATTAACAACAACAACAAAAAGATTGTTCAGGGGGTACTTAGAGCGAATAATAAAATTTATACAAAAGCAAAACTCATGGTTATGGGCAACTCAGTCATAGAATATATGTGCTGTTACTTTTTTAGAGTTTACATAATCTTGTAAGTTTCTTAAAACAGTAGAATTAAGCAGGGAATGGTGGCATACACTTTTAATCCCAGCGCTCCAAAGGCAGAGGCTGGTGGAGCTCTGGGAGTTTAAGGTAACAGTCTACGGTGATTTCCAGGGCAGCCAAAGGCACAGTTAAGTTACTCCAAACAAACAAACTCTCCCCAAACAACAACATAAAGGCTAACTTCAAAGTTGTTAACACTCTAAAATTCATCTTGAATCTTCCATTGTACAAACTCCCTATGTATGTTTCTCCATTTTAACAAAAAGGACAGTGAGATACAGAGTTAGAAGCAATGCACTCTCATTCCCCACTTAACTTAGGTATACACGAAACTCAAGTTCCAGCCCTTCCTGTGACAAAAGCAAACAGCACAGCACCAAAAACGGGCAAAGCTGCTTCTCATGTGTCAACTAAATACAGCTGTAACTGAGCTTCATTGTTTTATTTGCCTGCAAAGGGTTGATATACCACCTGTCTATTTTGGTTTACTACTGCAAACTGTTAAGTATGTATAAATTATCAGTAAAACACACCTTTCACATAAGTCGAGATGGCTTCTTTTGTGTCCCTTTCTGGGTCAATGGTGATGAAAAGTGGAGTTAAATTTGGCAGGGACGGAATACTGTCTGAAAGAAAGCTCCAATTAGTCAACAGTCACCATTAGGGAAAAGACAAACCCAGCAACACTCCGAGAAGGTGGTGTTATAGTGAAAAGTCAGGGCAACACAGAGGACAGATCAGACTATCTGGAATGGAGAAGTTTCTGTCTGTGGTGGAGCTAGACAGAAGTTCTATCAAACACATCTACTGATACATAAATACTGGTACCCCAGATCACTTCTCATGGCCATCTTATTTCCTAATGTGATCCAATCCCTGTAGTTTTTAATTACCAGATCTCAAGGACAAGGTAAGCTATTGATAGACTGAATACACTGAAAAAATTTAAAGAGGTACACTTCCTTCTAACTGCTTTTAATTGACACTAATAAAATACCACTTATTAATCAAGATTTCTGAATCTACCCATCAATGTCACTGGGGAAACACAATGAGAACACTGTGGTAAAAAAGATAGAGGCATGAAGACATTTTTAAGTGATCTGATACGTGGCACCCAAACAAGCCTCCTTTGGTAGAGAGTAGGGTCCTGGAATCAAAGCATACAGATGAACATGGAAACTTTATGTTCTTATAGATCAAATAATTACAACACCCTGTCTAACACACTATGGGAATGTGGCAAACAGTACTGTTAAATAGTGTATTAACAACTGCTTTCTTACCTATTTCATCCACAACTTGAATCATTTTTTCTAGTTCTTCTGGACAGATATCAGGGCAATGAGTGAAGCCAAAATAAATCAATACCCATTGGCCCAGGTAGTCCTTGTCAGTTTTGGACTCTCCATCATGAGTTGTGAGGGAAAATGGTCCTCCTAGTAAAGGCTTTCCAATGCTTCGATGTCTTTGTTTCTCCAGCTCTTAAAGCACCAAACAAAACAAGTCACTGTAACCAGAGTCACTGAAATATCTGACATAGTTAGCATAATACAAGTAACAGTATGTAGATGGGGTGGGAGGTATAAAATACAAAATATCAGCTTTCAAGACACTAACAAAAATACTTTCAAAAAGATAAGCATAAAATAAGAAAATGAAATGCTGTAACACATGACAAGCACCATAATGAAGTGGTAAAATGTGTTCTCCTAGAACAATTGGGTCCTAAGCTGTTCAGTGTGGGGGTGAGGGAGCCTAGAGGCTGGGTGTGCTAGAGGCAGCTTCATGGGAAAGGCAGTGGTGATGGGACCTTAGTTTCATATAGAAGATTAATTAAATAAACAAAGCAAACAAATAGGGATAAGAATGTTATTCATGGAAAAAAGCCAGAACTAGGAACCAGAGAAAACTGGAACATCTGTGAGTTTATGGTTTCGATATACAGAGATTCTCCTAAAAGGAAGGAGTTGAGAGTGATTTTTGTTGTAGAGAAATGCTGAAATAAGCTGAAACAAAGTGCAAGGAGAGCCAGTGGCAGAAGGAAAAACCCAAAGACTCCTAAAAACAGGATCCTGTGTGAACAACACGCTCTGTTCTGGTTTCATTTCTGATGCTGTGATAAAATATTCCGTCAAAAAGAAACTTAGGGCCAGGTGGTGGTGGTGCCCACTTTTCATCCCAGCCCTTGGGAGGCAGAGGCAGGTGGATCTCTGTGAGTTCGAGGCCAGCCTGGTCTATAAAGTGAATTACAGGACAGCCAGAGCCACCCCATCTCAAATACAAAAGAAAAACAGAAAAGAAACTCAGATGAGAAAGGGTTTATTTTATCTAACAATTTCTTGGAAATAGTCCATGTGTAGGGAAGTCTTAGTGAGAGGGGCTTGCAGCAACTAGTTATATCACACCCACATTCTAGAGGAGTGAGAAACTGCATGGATGGCATTTAGCTAGCTTTCGATGTTCTTATAAAGTACAGGGCCCCAAACCAGGAAATGGGGCTGCCTGCCACTTTCAGGCTGGGTTTCCTCAAGTCATTTAAGGCAATCAAGAGAATCCTCAGGTTGTGTATGTGTGTGTCTATAGGCCAACCAGATCTAGCTGATTCCTCAATGAGACTCTTCCCAAGTGATTCTAGGTTGTATCAAGTTGACAATTAACAAACAAACAAACAAAACAACTAACCATAAGCTCCCCTAAGTTACTTTGGATATTAAAAGGAAAAAAAAGACAGATCACAACCCACTGAAAATATAGCAAATTAGTCTATACTGACAAAAATGAATGAATAAATTCAGAGTGATGAGAACAGCACACACAGACACATTGTAAAACATGTAATTTATACAAAAGAAGGGTGACATTGTCTTACATGATCCAACACCATTAATAATAGGACAAAAAGAAATCATAATGCACTTGAATAAATGCAATGAATGGTGCAGTATCACTTCTATGACAACCCTGTCAAAGGCTGCAAGGCCTGAACTGAATCATGAGGAAAGAATAGACCAGTACAGACTGACGGACAATTTACAAAACTGGCCTGTGATTTTCAAAGTTGTCAAGGTCATGAAAGTCAGGTAAAGCCTAGGAAACTTACAATCTGCAGAGACAACCAGGAACAAGGAACAGTTCTGAACTGGATGCTTTTTTTCACAAAAGCAATACAGTAACAAAACTCGACTGAACCTGAGATTGTCTTAGACCGAACAATGGTACCATAAGTGTTAAATTTTCTAAATTTTAGGTACTGATTATGTAGAAAGAATGACACAATATATGAGGCGAGGCATGATGTCAGCAAGTAACCAAATAATTCTGGAACACTTCGGTTTGTTTCATAGTAAATTTCAAACTAAAATGAATTTATTATTGTAGGTGAAATTTCAGACTAAAGCCCAAAGCAGCTTACATTTAAGCTGCTTTGTCACTACCTTCCTAGCTTTCTTGTCTACGTCTGCTTCCCCAACTGGTTTGCAGTATCTACTCACACTGCTCTCCATGCCTGACCTCTGGGAAGTCTTCTCAGATTCCAAGGTCAAGTCTTCCTCAGGCCCCCAGAGACCCCTGCACTTCCCTCTGGCCTGGAAGAACCTCATCTAGTGAAATCCTGGTTTTCTGAGTCTGTCTCCTTGTTAACTGTACCCCAACAGTTGGACACCTTAGTCATCTTTGTACTCATTCTCTGGACTTCCAACTGCCCACATTCAACTTATGTACAGTTGTCTTTTAAAACTATTAAGCAGTGTTATTTTGGAGTCCATCCCTGAAAAGTTAAAGACACTGATGGAAAATGTGCAAAATCCAATTAAATGTTGCAACCCAGTTAATTATATCAATTTTAATTTCTTAGTTGTGTCCTGACTGTATAAGATGTCAAAACTGGGAGAGGGGTTGGATGAAAGGTATATGGAGGCTTTTATTTGTCATCTTCGAAACTCTTCTAAATTAGTAAAACCACATTATCTTCAATAAAAAAATTAAAAAATAGGTCAGGCCAACAGCTCAGTAGATAAAAATGTACGGCTCAATCCCAGGAACCCACCATAGAAGAAAAAAATACACTAGAACCAACTCCCAAAAGTTATCTTCTGGCTTTCGCCATAGCATGCATGCACTTGCACTCGCAAAAACACAGTGAAAAATAAACAAAAGCTTAAAAACAAAAAGATGGTCCAAAAGATAATGACTTACTTTCTATCTTTTCTTTCTTGAAGTACTTCATTCCAGCCAATAAAGATCCTCCAATGGCAAAAGTCAAAGCTAAAGACTTCCAAGAAACGGGCTACTGGGGCAGAGATTTCAACAATAAAACAAGTAAGATGAAAACATTTAACCTTGCTGCATTTATGACCTATATTTTCACGGCAAAAATATACACACAAACCATTGTTACATACATTGAGTGCCTCGGGTTACTTTGGGATAAATCCTGAAAGTTTCTGTGCATACAGTTATAACTACTGCAAAAGCACTTGTTTCCAGGGAAAAGTTACCAAAGTTAATTTAAAAAACAATTAAGGGTTGAAGATGGAGCTAAAGTAATTGGTACAATGCTTGCTTGACATGTGCCAAACCCCTGGGTTCCATGCCAAGCACTGCATAAAACCGGGTGTGGTAATACACACCTGTAATCTTAGCACTTTGGAAGAGGAAGAAGGCAGGAGGATAGAGCTCAAAGTCATTCTTGGCTGCATATCATGTTCTAGGCCAAACTGAGACATAAGAGACCTGGTCTCATCAAACATCACAAAGCCTGCAATTGATTACTGGCTTATGCTGATACTGTACTCTTTAAAATGTTTGCTTAAGATATTCCCTACTCCCCAAATCCACAGTTCTTACTAACACAAGCAAGGAAGAGGCTCTGAATTAGAGACAGAATTAAAATGAGAGGAAGATAAAAAGGAACAGGGGAGAAAGGGAGGAAAGAAGGGGTGGAGATTAAAGCAACATATGTCCGCATTTTTGTTTCAATTTCAACTTATACACTGAACCACTGAAGCGAAATTCGGTGAGATTATAAAAGTGCTCTGACTTTTGAGTCACGCTAAAGTTGAGATCCTTAAGACATGGAACTAGGGGCTGCAGAGTGGGCTCAGAGGTTAAGAGCACTGCCTGCTCTTCCAGAGGTCCTGAGTCCAGTTCCCAGCAACCACATGGTGGCTCACAACCACCTGTAATGAGATCTGGTGCCCTCTTCTGGCTTTCATGGATACATGCAGACAGAACACTGTATACATGATAAATAAATAAATCTTTAAAAAAAATGCAGAACTATTTTTTTTTGTTTCTGGAACAAAACCCTGGGTTGAAACCGCGCGGATTGGGGAGTAGGTCCTCAAGTTCTATCGAGGCAGGGACTATGAGCTGACCAGGAAACAGTTCTGTAAAGGCTAGAACTACCGGGTGACCAAGAAGCAAGGAAGTGACTCCATGGTCCTTTT